AAAGAAACCTTATTTACTCCATGATGTATGTGGCAGTTTCTGATTCTGACCTTTAGGGGAACCACTCCAGGCTCACTAAACTGAGCTCTGTGGTATTCAGCGATGTGTGCAGGCTCTTGAGAGATGAGAGTCCAAATGGACAAGATCAGCATGCACTCACACAGTTAAGACAGCTACATCACGAGGTGATGTCATCTCATGGGTTTTATTTATTTATTTTTTGGTGGGGGAGATCCTGGGGATCTAGGGACCTAGGGCCTCATGAATGCTAAGGAAGTACTTTACCATTGAGCTACAACCTTAGCACTAGGTGTTAGAACTGTAGGGGACCCATCATGGTGTGATACCCATAGTTGATCAAAATATCATTTTCTATATCACATGTAAGTACATGTATCCCTATTGCTTCCCTGACAGCCATGGTTCCCAGGGAAAGGGACTTGGGAGTAAGAACAACTTACCCGATTCACTGTGGGCCACCACCACGCCTAACTCGTTTTCAGCAGTGGTCAGCAGGTAATTGGACTGTGCATCACCTAGGGAGATCTAGTCACACCGTACAGTGAAGGGAAATAAGAGGCTTAAAGTGCTGTTGCTTCTGCCACCTCAACCCCTTTTGTGTACCCCAGGCCAGCACTGAACTCCTGATCCTCACAATGTATCGTCATACCTGCTTCCATTTCTTCTGACAAAGAGACAGAAACCTGAGGGCATAAAGAATACAGCTTTGGCCAGACAGGTGGCACATGCATTTAATCCCAGCACTAGGGAGGTAAAGGCAGATGGATCTCTGAGTTCAAGGCCAGCCTGGTCTAAGGCATTCCAGGATAACCATGGCTACACAGAGAAATTCTGCCTTGGAAAAAAAAAGCAAAACAAAAAGGATACAACTTTAGCCAAAACTATGTCACCTGGGCGGAAACTCTTGTAAATTTCAACCTGCAAAAAACCAAACGGGAGTAAAAGGTACATTTAGGTCTACATGACAACATGAAATAACCCAAAAGACCCAGTCCACTTTCTAACCCCAGGGGGAGGTGTCATTATTATGTCAATTCAGATGTTTATTCTTTCAGTATCATACCAATGAAAGAATTTGAATTTAGTAACGTGATCAGAAATCTGACTTGCGCAAAAGGTAGTATAATTGTGCTGAGAAGACTCCAGAATACCTAAGGAGTAATGAATAAACAACGAGCTTCAAAGGCAAAAAACAGACACTGTGGTAACATGCCTGTAAACAAACAGCACAGGAGGGGCAGAGCAATGAAAATCAAGTCTGAAGCCAGCCTGGGCAATACAGGAAGATCCTAAGTCTCAAAAATTAATAAATGCATACATACTCATGGATGAGGATGCGTATTTGTGTGGCGGTCAGAGACTGACATCTGGCTGTAGTGAGAAATTTGGAATTTTGGTTTCTTTAATAACACAGAAATTGGAACGGAGAGATAGCTCAGAGGTTAAGAGCACTGGCTGCTCTTCAAGTGGATCTGAGTTCAATTCCCAGCAACTACATGGTGGCTCATGACCATCTATAATGTGTTCTCTTCTGGCCTGCAGGCACACATGCAAGCAGAATACTGTACACATAATAAATAAATCTTTAAAAAGACAAAATATTTTAAGAATCTGTTTTTATTTTAATCCGAGGTGTGGGGATATGGGGCTGCTTCACAGCAGGTGATTGTGATTTGCCTCATGCTCTAGTTGAGGCGTGATTCTTGTAATTTTTCAGAGGGTAAATAAAAGCTAGGGCCCCTGAGAGGTGGTGGGTTGTTGGTTGCTGATGGTTGGCTTGTTAGGTAGTTGTGAGCAAAAAAGAGACAAGAGGAGGAGGAGGAGGAGGAGGAAATTAGATATCCAACTTGCACCAAGGAACTCAAATCAGCAGGAAGTAGTGGAATGATTATGTTGCTCCTTTCCTCTCTATCCTTTTTGTCTCCTATCTAGTGTTAGGGGTTTGAAAGGGAAGAAGAAAAGGGATGGAGAAGAGTGGAAGAAAAAACTCACAAAGTAGCAAATCAGGTGTCTTCCACCTGATTTTACTTTTTGGTGGGGGGGAGGGGGTCCCTGTATGGCACTGGTTATCCTGAACCTTCTATGTAGGTCAAAGGGACAGTGAATTTCCAGTTTAGGACCTTGAACTCAGAGATCTGCCCATCTCTGCCTCTCTAGAGCTCGGATTAATTGTGTGCTCCACCACGCCTGGTTCTACCTTATTTTCCAGACAGGGTCTCTTATGAACCTCAGCTCTACAAGCCTCCTGTCCCATACCCTCCACCCGTCAGCCTGGAACTTGTTATGTATACCAGACTGGCCTCACAAATCTGCCTCTGCTTCCTAAGCACTGAAATTAAAGATACCATGCTTAGATAATAATTTTAGTGATAATAACAGCCTAACTCCGTTTTGGTCAACTACCTGAAAAAAAAAACTCTTATATGGGAAGAAAGGGACAGTGATCTGTATTTCATGTTATATGGGAAGAAAGGGGCAGTGATCTGTATTTCATATTATATGGGAAGAAAGGGACAGCAATCTGTATTTCATGTTACAGCAAGAGATGTGTTAAAAGACAAAGTCTTGCTTTGTAGTCCTGGCCTGGAACTAATTACTGACCAGGCTGGCCTCAAACTCAAGAGTTCTGCCTGCTTCTGCCTCCTGAGTGCTGGAGTTAAAGGTGAGCATGTATCCTACTCCTGGCTCTCTGTCTATATCCATCCATCCAACTATTTTTTCAAACTTACGTATTATATGTGTATGTATGTGTACCACATGCATTCAGGTGTCTGCCCGTGGAGGCCAGAACAGAGTGTCAGAACCTCTAAAACTACAATTACAGAGGGTTGTGAGCCATTGTGTGGTGCTGGGAATAGAACTTGGTTCCTCTGGACAAACAGCAGGTGCTCTTAAATGGCTCAGGCATTTCTCCAGACCAGGGATAATAATTTTTAAAGCAAGATTTCTAAAGTTGTAGGAAAACACAAACAACCAAAATCTTTTACAAAAATAAACCACCAATTATCAACCTTGTCTTTTTCTGTTGCTCGAACATCTTCCTTGCTAAAAAAAAAAAAAAAAAAAAAAAAAAAAAAAAAAATTAGTTATCTGTGAGAAGGAGAGAAAAACAAGAGCAGATAGAACAGGCCACACTGGGTTCCTGACTGCCACAAGGATGGAGGGCCATCTTTAGCATGCATGATAAAACATTTAGCCTTTCTTGGACAATAGAGAACAACAGTATTGATAACTCTTCACAATGGAAAGCTTATGGGAACGTCAAGGTCATTCTTGGCTACATATGGAATTATAGGACAGCCTGACTATAGGATTTTTTCCCAAAAACCAAAATCAAACCAAACCCCAAAACAAACAAATGAACCAACCACCAAACCATCTAGCCTACAATAACTGCACAACTGTTTCTTTTCAAAGAAGCCACATAACAATCTATCATTTCATCCACAAACCTTTGCTATTTTTCCCCCACAGAGCTAAGGACCAAACCCAGGGCCTTGCGCTTGCACTGAGCTAAATCCCCAACGCCTATTTTTTTTTTTTTTAAGATTTATTTATTTTACTTTATGTGTATGAATGTTGTGCCTGCGTGCATGTCTGAGCACCACATGCATGCCTCTTTGGTTCCCTGGAACTGAAGCTAACATGTAGGTGCTGGGAATTGAACCTCTGTCCTCTACAAGAGCAACAGGTGCTCCTAACTGCTGAGCCATCTCTCCAGCCCCTCCACAAAATTTTTCTAACAACCTTTGGGTTCAACCATCTTTAATCCTAGTACATGGGAGGCAAAGGCAGGCAGATTTCTGAGTTTGAGGCCAGTCTGGTCTACAAAGCGAGTCCAGGACAGCCAAGGCTACACAGAGAAACCCTGTCTCAGAAAAACAAAAACAAAACAAAACAAAACAAAAAAAGAGGTGGGCAATTCTGTAAAGCTGTCCTGGCCTTCACAGGAGTGCTGTGATACACACACACACACACACACACCACATCACATCACACACAATAATAATACCTGATACTGCTGGTTTACAGCTTTCCTCAGTCCTTATTGAGACAGGGTCTCATGTAGGCCAGGCTGGCCTTGCTATATAGTCAAGGATTACTATCCTGAATTTCTCATGCTCCTGCCTCCTCCTGTAAGTGCTGGGACTGCAGGCATTTGATCTATGTGGCACCTGACAATCAAATCTAGAGCTTCTCCATCAACTCAGACAGATCACCAGCCCCCTTTGCTTTGCTTAAAAATCCTCTTTTACTAACATTTTCCTTTTCTCGTAGCTCACATAACATTTTCTCTGGTTATACTGTGGGGCAAAGCACACAGGAGAGAGTAAAGCAGGCAGGAAAAGGAACTGTAATTGCTCCGTAAATTCTGGTCTTCCCCACTACCCCTGCCTCACTCCTGGTGCTGAGGCAAATGCACACACACACAAGAATACCTCTTACCGGATAGTTCCTCGAAAAGCATTTTTAAGTGGTGTGGATCCCACATACAGGATGTGTACTTTGGCAAAACGTGAGTTGATGCTAGAGACCTAGGGAACAGAGGAAGGACAGGCATCAGAGCATCAGCTGCTGGCCACTGAGAGCTAGAGCAGCAGCCGTGATTTGAGCAAAGTAACTGTACTATACAGACTTAAGGGGTTTTGTTTTTAGATTTATTTGATCTTATGTAATGAGTATTGCTTGCATGTATGTATGTGTACCGCATGTGTGCTGGTGTCCACAGAGGTCAGAAGAGAGGGTTGGATTTCTTAGAACTGGAGTTATAGACGGTTGTGAACTACTATGTGGGTGCTGGGAACTGAACCAAGGTTCTCTGCAAGAGCAGCAAGTGCTCTTAGCTACTAAGCCATCTTTCCAGCCCTTTATTTCATTTCAAAAAGTTATATGCGTATGAGTGTCTGTATGTGTGTCTGTGCACCTGAGTGCAAGTGCCCACAGAGGCTGGAGATGTTGTATCCATCCTCTCCACCCCCACCCCCTGAAAACAGAGTCATAGGCAGCTGAGCTGTTCAAAGTGGATGCTGGGAACCGAAAGGCAGGCTTTCTGGAAAAGTAGCAAGTGCTTTTAACCTGGAAGCCATCTATCCAGCCAATTAAGGTAAGTTAGCATCTGTTTGTCTCTTTCTAAGACGTGTCTGTGGGCTGAAAGCCACAACAGTGCTATTACGGGAACCCAATGAGAATATACAGTGTTGACTTTAAAAAGTACCCAAACCTAAATTAGGTGTGGTGGCGAATGTCTATAATACAATCCTAAATACAACAGAAGTTGAGACAGAAGGGTCAAGAGTGAAACCAGCTTGGTCTACATAGCAAGTCCGAGGACAGCCTCAATAACTCAGCCAGACAACTCTGTTCTCGCCCTGGCTGTACTGGAATTCACTATGTAAAACAGGCTGGCTTTGAACTTGGAGATCCCCCGCCTGTGCCTCCCAAGCACTGGGATTCCTGCCACTGCCTGGTTCAAACTTTAACAAAATGACAATAACAACAAAAAAGCCCATAAGTCTTACATAAATAATCAGTGTATTCTAACAAATCTAGGCCTTACAGTTCTTCCCAGGAAACCAATCTGTGGACAGAATTTAACGTACATTTTAGCTAATTCCTGACATTGAGATCATTGTGCCTTTTGTGGTATTTTTCTCAGAATAATACAATTTTTTTTTTCTGTAATAGTTTATAAAGAGAGAAGAGTGAAAGAGTAAAGCTGGGTAAGGTGGTATACACCTGTAATCCCAGCACCCAGGAGATGAAGACAAGAGGATCAATAGGAGCCACTCTTGGTTACACTGTAAGTCTGAGGCCACTTGGGCTCCTCAGGAAACAGGGAAAGAGGTATGATAGATAGATAAAAACAAATACATTATAAATAAAATTGGTAGAAGATGGGAATGAGTAGGGAATGTATTGAATATTATAGGCACATAGCATATGACATTAATTTGTACCTCCTCTGCTGGTGGTTGGTCTAATGCTAATTACTGGTTAAGATCTGGTTAACCCATCCTTGTTTGTATAAACCTACTTAAAACATTATTCCTGATTGGTTCATTAAATGGCCTATAACTATGCGGGGCAGAATGGGGTAGGTGTGGCTAAGGTTCCAGGGGCTTCGGAGAGAATCATGGGAAACGGATAGGAAGAGAGGAGGAAGGAAGGCACCAAGAAGGATTAGTGTGGAGAAAAAAAACCACGTGAGCAGAAAGGCATTACTCCGATAACAGCTTGGAAAGGCCCAGATGAAGAACACAAGCATGGGATTATGGATGGAAGGTAGACCAGATGACGAGGATTAGGTGGATGGCATTGGATGGGGGCTGGAAGATGGATGGTGAGGACAATGAGACAGTGTAAGTTAAATATCTGCCCGGCACAAGGCAAATAAGGCAATTATAAATCTAACAGGTGTCTGTGTCTTATTATTTGTGATAGCGGGTTAAACAATACTGCCATGATAATCTTAGGGCTAATAATAATTAACATTATATAGCCCTATACTCTTTCTTAAATTTACTACAACACTCATCTCAAATATTCTGGGGCTGAGTATGGAGCTCAGTTGGTAGAATACTGGGCTAGTCTACGCATAGACCTGGATTCTTAGCCCAGCACTTTAGAACACTTTTATATAACATTTTATAACATTTTATAATGGTAATACGTATTCGTAATCCCAGCATTTTGGAAGTGGAGGCAAGAGGATTGCCTCACCAAGTCTGAGGCCAGCCCTGGGCTACAAGGTAAGCTCCAAGGTACCTAGGACTACAGAATGAAACTTTATCAAGGAAAAAGAAAAGGGACACCCTTCCCCAGACACATGCAGAAATAGGTCAGTGAGAAGAATTACGAATTCTTTGAGACAGGACAGCCGAGGCTGGCTTCTACCTCACTACGTAGGAGAGGCTGAGCTCTTGATCCCCTACCTCTACCTCCTGAGCGCTGTGACTATAGATGTACAACACCATGCCCCGTCTAGGCAGGGCCTATGGGCGGAGAACCCCGCACCTCATGCATGCTAAGTACGCAATCTACCAAGTAAGTTACAAGCCAGGCAAAAACTGCATGTCTGAATTGTCTATCTTGATCCTGGAAATCTTCAGACCAACAGAGCACAGTGACACCTTCTTTAAGCAAAACAAATAGAGCGAGCCTTTTGCACTTTTTAGGAACCCTATATCATCATCATCACCACATGGATGTTGGGGGCAGGGAGTACAGGCTCACATCCCACAGCGTATGTGGAGTTTCAGATCTGTTCCAGTTTGCTTTCTGATACTGTGATACATACATCAAGACCAAAACCAGTTTGGGGAGGAACTGGTTTACAGTTATAGTCCATTGTCAGGAAAAGCCAAGGTAGAAGAAACTTAAGACAGGAACCTAGAGTAAGGAACTGAAGCAGAGGCCAGGAAGGAGTGTTGCTTACTGGTTCTCCATGGCTATTTCTTATACAACCAAGGATTATCTTCCTAGTGGTGGCACTGCCCACAGTGGGCTGGGCCCTCCCATGTCAATCATCAGTGAAGAGAATGTCCTGTAGATAGGCCACACTGATGGATGCAGTTCCTCAAATGAGGTTCTCTCTCCAGGTCATTCTAGGATGTGGCAAGTTCATCAAAAGTAACCAGGCAACTTGGTGGAGTTGGTTTTTCACATTCACATGGGTCAGCAAGCTTGCTTGGAAAACGATTTACCTGAAAAGTCACTTACGGACTGACTCACACTCTTCCTCCACCCCTCTCTTTTTTTTCTTGTTTGTTTTAAGGCAGGGTCTTACTCTGTAGCCATGCCTGTATTGGTACTCACTTTGAAAATCAGGCTGGCCTTGAACTCACAGAGATCCGCCTGCCTCTACCTCTCCAGTGTGGTATTAAAGGCATGAGCCACTATGTCTGTCTTCCCTCCACCCCTTCTTTGGGACAGAGTTATCACCATGCAGCCCACGTTTGCTGTGAGATCCCCCATCCCTCAACTGACATCAGAGGTATGTGCATCTATGCCTGGCCAGTAAAACCTTCTATGATGACAGAAATGTCATTTCCTGAGGCTGGACAGGTGGCTCAGCAGTTAGGAGCACTGGATGCTCTTCCAGAGGACCCGGTTTCAATTCACCTACATGGTGGCTTATAATCACCCATTTCTAGCCTCTGCAGCACCAGGCATGCATATGATACAGACAAGGTTCCTATACACATAAAAGGAGCTAAAAAACCAAGCCAAACCAAAAACATTTCCTACAACTGAGGGCGCACTTCAAGGGACTCCATCACTTCCACACACAACCCCAAACAACAGTCATGTGCCAACCAACATGGCAGTCACTAACCACAATTTGCTACTTACATAAATAGTGTTGGGGTTGTGGGGGACAGGGTCTCACTCTGTAGGCCATTCTGATCTTGAACTACTGTTCAATTCTTCTGTTCAGTTTCCCAAATACTGAGCTTATAGATATAAATCATATCTGTATTTCAGCCTGGCTGAAAATAAACTTTACTTTTTCTTTTCTTTTTTGAGTCAGGGTTTCTCTATGCAGCCCTGGCTGTCCTGGAACTCACTCTGTAGACCAGGCCGCCTGGAGTATCCACCTACCTCTGCCTCCTGAACGCTGGGATTAAAGGCGTGAGCCACCATGCTCATCCCTGAAAGGAACTTTTAACACTTATAAACTTAAATAGCCCCATGTAGCTAGTGACTACTGTATTAAGCAGCAGAACACAGCAGTTGAAGAATCATGCCCTAAGCACAGTATCAGGACCCACTCACTTTGCAGGTGACTACAGCTCCCACATCTGGAAGTAACTGTGACTCTGTTTCTCTCATCACAGACACCACGGGAAGCTGTGGAGAGAACATAAAAGTCAGGGCACTGGCTGAGGAAGCTTTGGGCAAAGAAAACTGATGTTTGAGAATACTGGGTTGTCTTCAATTAGATAGGACAGGCAGACTTTGGATTCATTTGTAGCTCATAGCAGATAGAACAGCAATTTTAGGACGTTTAAAAAAGAATTTTAGGAAATAAAGCAGATAAGGCGCAATTCGAATTAGGCTGCCAGATATACTATGAACATTTCTGATTAGCTCTAAATTTTTAAAGATTCTCTTGGAATTTCTTGGTATATAATCATATTGCTGATAATTATGGATATCTTGACTCTTTCCTCCAAAGTTATACTGTTTTTTTTTTTTTTTTTTTTTAATACTGCACAAGAAATGCTACAGAATGGCAATTCTTGTTTTACTCCAATGGCAATTGGTGTGTGTATCCTCTTTGAACAAAAAGCTAGTACCTGTCTTGCTCTGTGCTGTTTCCCCACCTTACTAAATTCTTCCCAGTTCAAGTTGTCCGTTTAACCCATTCTTTGTCAGAACTGCATTCTTTCTACCTCTCCACTTCTACTTATCCTGCAGACGCCTATCACTATCTAGAATAACAGACATAAGGCTTGCTACATGTTCTCATTGTACTTCGCAATTCTTTTGAAAACACAGATTTGTGCATTTGTTCCTAATTTGTGTCTGTCTCCTCGGCAGCAAAAGCTCGGCGTATTTGGCTCATGACTCTCTCCCCAGTAATCAGTAAGGGCAGCCCTGTGCAGGACACATGAAAGTGCTCAAGAGAAATCTATAGTAAACGGACAGGCTGAGTTTTATACTCAAAACCAATCGACTGCAACCTATTTTTACAAATAAGCAGAACCTAAAGTGGGAAGTTTAGGTTTAGCCAAGTCATAAAGAATTTTGATTCTTTTTAAAAATTTCAAGCAGTACAAGAGGTTGGACCTAAGGTTCCAAGCTTGGCATGCTAGGAAAGCACGTCCAGACTAGAATAAGGTTTTAATTCTTAATCTTCTATTGTCTTATACATGTCAACCACTGCTTTATCTGTGCCCGTTAGTAGCTGGGAATAGTCGTGTACCACCACCATGCATGGCCACACTTAAACATCCAGTTGGGCAAAAACCTAGTAAATGCAATCAAGAATAACAAATTTAAATTAGTGCTTGGGAGGAGGATTCTTGGGCATGACAATCCCACTCCCATCAAAACCCCATTTTCTCTCAATCAGCGGGTCCAGAAGCGCTTCTCTGGTTAAAAACAAACAAACAAACAAACAAACACCGATTAACGAAAGGGGCTGAGCAGCAGTGTGTTCCAGACAGAGGCATAGGCTCCAGATACAGTGCGTAGGCTTCGAGGCAGGAGAGCGCTTAGAGCATTTGGACACCGAAAATCGCCAGCGTTACTCCACTTATGTCAGTGAGGTGGGAGCCACGTGAAGGCGCAGGAGAAGTCGAGACGCACGACGTGAAGAAACCCTCCGCTGGCTGAGCTACTTTCAATTTGCACGCTTTCCCCTCCACTTCCTTCTGTGAGTGCATCCACACAATCAAGCTAGATCAACCTAACGGGTGTGCAGCGCTGTGCTAACGCAGGGATCAGAGCTGCGAGAAACCAAGAGACCAAAGCGCTCTGCTGCCGAGGCACCAAAGACGCGTCCGCGGTGCCTGTTCCCAAGGACCGCGACAGCCTGAGAGAGAACGCTCGCGGGGTAGTCGCTTTCTTTACCGCGCCGTTCTCGCTGGTCTTCGTCAGGCAGCCTGCTAGCGACGAAAAGATGTATCCGTGCCGGGTGTAGGTGCCGCTGCCGGGGATGCCTTCCTCCAAGTTACACAGGCGTTCACCTGGAGAAGAAATACAACATCAGCCAGGGGCTCCCAGGAGCTAGTTGCCATGCAGCCTGGGACTGCGTGCCGAGACCGCTCTCTCACCGGGTATGCAGTATCTCACAGGTGGTGCCATGCTTGCCACCGTTCAAAACCCGGATGAGAAGGAAGTTGACTTTTCATTGGTCAGCTAATGGCGCAGCCTCGCAGTAACGCGTGTACCAATTGGTGCCTTTGACCGCGCAGGTATGCGCGAGGTCTGACTACATTTCCCAGGCCGCCCCGGGGCAGATCCCTGGCTCTGCCTTTGCACGGTCCGAGACTCGCGCCTGCGCAGCTGGGTGATGATGGGCAGGCGGCGGGTCCCGGTCCGCTGGATGGAGCTGCGGGCTGCGGGCCATGGTGGGTCATCCTGAGCTCGGCCCGACCCGGGTCTCGAGCTGGAGCGGGAGGCAGTGAGCGGCGGAGTGGGCTGAAGCTGGCTGATTGGGAAGCTGGCAGGAGGCAGGTAAGGGCGAAGGCGCGGCGCTTGCTTCCCACCCGAGCCCCGGGTGTCCAGGCCTTTAAGTTCAAGTTCCTGGTTTCTCCACGGCTTGCCCTGCGTGGCTGTGCCCTCCTGAGTGCGAATGCATACTGAGCCCTAACCTGCAACCCCAACTTGACCATTTCACGTGTTTGAAGACTCAGATCCAGAGACAAGGTTTGGCTTGGCCAGAGTCTCGAAGATAATTCGAGACAGCCCAAATCTTAGCCCATCATAGTTGGATCCTGCTGCTCTTGGGGAAACAACCTTTTTCTGGTTTTTAAAACGAGTTTCCTCTCTTGCAGGCAGCTACTCGAGTGTGTGAGCTCCTTAACTGTGATTGAGCAGCTCGACCGTTAATATTACCACTCCTATTGCTTTCTTCCTTTCTTTTTTAGCACGTTAGCCCGGAAAGAAACCTAAATAAGTACAATAAAGTGCTTTATTGATGGCTTTCATCAGCTTACGTGGCAAAGGTCACTGGAGCAGCGTTTTTATCCAGATGAAATTTGCCATGATTTCGGTTTCATCTGTTGGCTTTGGAATTTATTTCTATTTCCTCTTCTGTCCCTGCCAGTCCGGCTTCTTTGAGACCGGTGATTTAGGAAGTGCTTTTGCCTGCTAATCTCTAATCTGGTGGCAGATGGCCACTGTGGCCTGAGGGCACTACTGAGGGATGGCGCTACTCAGGGTTTGGAGGAGCTGTGCTTGTTTCTTCCTCCTCTTCACTGAGATCATCTCTGCCACCTTCAACGCTTAGGTTTAAAATTGTTACTTTTTCTCTATTTCCTGAGGTAAGGCCCCCGTTTCACCTGTGGCCCACAGACAATACATCTTTTCTTAGCCTCCTCATCTTCATATTCCTGTAGGTAAAGTGAGGAGAAGAGCCTTGGCTGACACTTTGTTTGCTCAAATTTGTTCAGCATCTACAAGCTTTCAGTTTTACATGTTTGATTTCTGGTTTGATTTGTCCTCTAAATTACTGTTCTTTAGTGCTATGATTCTAATAACGATTCTGTTTCTCTATTAACCAGAAAGAATGAGAGCAGCAAATACTTTGGTGTTACCACGTTGGCGAGAGTGTGCTTGCTGGCTTCTGTAGAGCTGCTAGCCTTTCCAGCTCTGCATCTCTCCAGGTCATTCATTCAACAACTATTTACTGAATACTTCTATGAGCCAGGTATTATACTGAGGTGTTTATAAGAAAGCATTTGATTTAAACTTGGGCCTTATGTGTGTGTATGTATGTATATATATGTGTATATGTATGTATGTACATACATACATTTGTATGTATGAAAAACTAAGGTTTAGCTAAGGTTACAGACTATTTAGGTAAAGTTGAACCCTAAATAGGGTATAAATAAAAGAGAATTGGTCAGTTGAGCCTTTGAAGTAGGCATTTCATACAGAACTCAAGAATGCAGGAGGTAAATGATTTTTTTTTTTTAAGACGTGGTCTCATATGATTCTCATGCTGTCTTCAAACGGGCTGTGTAGCCAAGGATGATCCTCTTGCCTCCAGGTGTACACCATCATTATTTTTTACATAGGGTGTCACACTATGTCGTTAACTGTCCCAGAACTCACTAGGTAGACCAGTCTAGTCTGGAACTCATAGAAATCCATTTGTTTTGCCTCCCAAGTGCTGGGATTAAAGGCATGCACCACCATGCCCAGCTTTTTGATGATTTTTAAAAAATCTTGATAGCTCTGAGGTGGTATTCTAAACTAGGAGCGTACCTGAGTTTGAAACACTATCGCCATAAGTATTTCAGCAACTAGAACACTCTCCATTATTCCTAAGAAGAGAATGTGCAGCGGTACACTGTTGTGGGGAAAAAAGAAACGAACAAACTGAAAACGTTATACTTACACCATCTCTGTCTTGGACTGCTATTACTTAGAATCATGATTTGGAAAAAGCATGAATTTTGTAGCTGGCCACAATCCAGTATAAGAGTACGATGGACCTAAGTATAATGTTTTCAGTTTGTTCGTTTCTTTTTTTCTTTGTTTTGAGACTGGGTTTTTTTGTGTAGCCCTGGCTATTCTATAACTCGCTCTGTAGACCAGGCTGACTTCTGCCTCCTGCGGCTGAGATTAAAGGCATGTGCGACCACTGCCCAGCTTCGGTTTTTCTTTTCTACATTTCCTGTTAATTCTTTCAGCTTCATAGGCATTTATTTATTTATTTATTTATTTACCCTGAAGGGAACTTTTGTGTTCCCAAGCTTGTGGAAGAAGGTAATTAACTATTTTCTTTGAAAAGCCTTTTGCGGGGATGAGCCAGGGTGCAAGGAGAGTACATTTACTCCAGTTACTGAACTGAAACCCATCTCGACAGCAGAGTAACTGCGACCAGTTTCTGCTGGGTTATGGAGCTGCCTGTTAAATAAGTCAGTGGGGTTGCTGAGGACAGAGCAGTATTCCCTGTCCATCGTTAAAACAGACTGTTTTTACGTAGCTAATGAAGCTATCATGGAAAGTCTGTTGGCGGCTATGTCCACAGTTGTGTTTATCGCCTGAGCAGTGAGTGTGCAGAGCCAGGGGCACATTAAGAGGAGCTACGGAGAGTGCTGAGTGAGAGCCAGGAGGGTGTCTTGGAAACTTGGGGAGGAGCATCAGTCACAGAGATGGTACTTAAACCAGGAACACCTGGAGAAGCTCCCAGGAAGACAGGTGCCTCCCACCACTGCCCCATCCTCCAAATACCTGAAGTTACCCTGCCTGTTACATCCCTGGCCTAGGGCTGGGAGTGGAGCTGGAGACAAAGTATCTTATGTCATACCAGTGGTGGCTAACCGAGTAACAGGGAACAAGAAATCATGTCATCTGGCAGCCTGTAACCTCAGCCCAGATGGAGTAGGAAGGATAGGACCAGGAAACTTCTAGTTACATGATCCTGCCTGTTAACAGAGCAGGTTGGACACCCTGCCTCACCCTGCCTCAGTGCCAGGGTCAGACATAGTGGCAGCTTTGTTTGTATTGGTTGGGCTTCACTTTGTGGTCTTTGTAGACAGTCCAGAAAACCTTCAGGGAGCTGAGGAGATGGCCCATCTGGGAAAGCACACAAGTGTGGTGATCCCACAGAACTCACGTAAAATGACAGGTGTGTCTGAAATCCTAGTGCTGGCGAGCCAGAGACAGGTGGAGCTTGTTTAGCTGAATTGGTAAGTTTCAGGTTTGGTGAAAGGCTCTGTCTTAAAAAAAAAAAAAAAAAAGGAATTGTGTGTGTATGTGGCAGGGATGGATGGGGAGCGAAGAGAAGGCTCTGCAGTTAGAAATAGTTGCCCTTCATCATGATTATTACTGTCGTTATCTTGTTTTTTTTGTTTGTTTGTTTGTTTGTTTTTTTGAGATAGTGTTTTTTTGTGTAGCCCTGGCTGTCCTGGAACTCCCTTTGTAGACCAGGTTAGCCTTGAACTTAGACATCTGCCTGCTTCTGTCTCCCGGCTTCAGGGATTAAAGGCATAGTACCCAGGCCCCGCTGAGTTCTTGCTATTCTAGCAGAAGACTCAGCACAGTTGCAGCTCTACAGCCATCTGTAACCAAAGCTCCAAGGGATCAGACACCTTCTTTTGGCCTCTGGGCACTAGGCGTACACATTCAGGCAAGCATTCATAAAACAAAAGTAAATTTAAAAGAAGCATGTGGAGAGCGACTGGGAAAGAGATACCTGATATTTAACCTCTGGCCTCCATACCTGTGCTGCTCACAGACACTCCTGACTGAGCTGTTTCTCTCTGCTGTGAATCGTCAGGTGTAAATTACCTGGGATGTGCTGCATAATTATGTAGTATAATGTAAACATGACTTTTGTAGGCTCAGAACCTTCAGTCCCTACGTCCTGTAATATGGTTGGAACAGTGTTATTGGAAATTCTATAGAAAACTAACCTTTCTTTCACAGCTGATGACTGGCCTAATTGAGAAGTCCTCTGAATTGATGCTTTGGGCCTTCTCACTGATGGGGTAGGTTGGGACAAGGCTCAGGCTAGATCCTTATATTCCTATACTCTCTTAGGAGCCATGCGGGGCCAGCGAAGTCTGCTGTTGGGCCCAGCTCGCCTCTGCCTGCGTCTCCTCCTGCTCCTGGGCTACAGGCGACGCTGCCCACCTCTACTCCGGGGCCTGGTACAGCGCTGGCGTTATGGCAAGGTTTGCCTGCGCTCCCTGCTCTACAACTCCTTTGGGGGCAGTGATACTGCTGTTGATGCTGCCTTTGAGCCGATCTACTGGCTGGTAGACAACGTGATCCGCTGGTTCGGAGTGGTAAGTGATGGTTCCCAGGGAGCCCAAGAAAAAGGGGTGTTTTGGGGGAATTGGGTATGTTTCTGATGCACTCACACTAAGCTTGGAGCCAACCTACCATGCCCAGAAAATTCCTGAGGCTTGATGGGTATCATTTGCTCACGGTTTTTCTTGACCTCACTGGCGTTGGCAGGTGTTTGTGGTGCTGGTGATCGTGCTGACTGGGTCCATTGTGGCCATTGCTTATCTGTGTGTCCTGCCCCTCATCCTCCGAACCTACTCAGTACCACGACTCTGCTGGCATTTCTTCTATAGCCACTGGAATCTGATCCTCATCGTCTTCCATTACTACCAGGCCATCACCACTCCTCCTGGATACCCA